AACCCTAATCTCAAAGCCCTAAACCCAAACGGAGAAGCATCTCGGGCTCCCACTCGATCGCTTCCCAGCCAGCACCCGGGAAAAGCTCGGGCAGACTCATGCCGACCTTGGTGAGTCGGTTAGGCTTAGGGTTAAGGGTTTAGGGTTTAGGGTTTAGGGTTTAGGGGTTTAGGGGTTTAGGGGTTTAGGGTTTAGGGTTTAGGGGCAACATGCCGACCTTGGTGAGTTGATCAAGCAGTTGGTTTTTTTAGGACTGGAGCGTTTCAGGTGCCCTCCCCCACCCATCTCCAAGACCCGGACCTATATAAGTTTGGGGTTTAGAGGTTTAGGGTTTAGGGTTTGAGAATGCTGGAGGGCTTGGGGTTTAGATTTCAGGGTCTAGGGTTTACGGTGTAGGGTCGTGTGCCCTCCCCGGAGGACCCCCGATTCGTTTGTACAATCTCTTTTTCGGTACATTTCAAGATACTGTTTACCCTGAGCATTAAACCCTATACCTTAGTTCCTAAACCCTATACCCTAAATCTTCCACCCTATACCCTAAAGCCTATACCCTAAAACTCTCCTTTAAGAGAGGGGATCGACTGTGGGGCTTGAGCCGCAGTCTACTTCTCTCAAAAGCTGATTGGGATTCGATCGAGGTGTCCGTAGGTCTTTGGGGGCACTCCTAAATTCCTAAACCTTAAAACCCTAAACCCTATAAACCTTAAACCTTAAAAACTCTAAACCCTATAAGCCCTAGACCCTATAAACCCTAAACCTGATGGACACTGCGGTTGTTATTCAAACTTTTTCTCAGGACACTGCTTCTGGCTTCCCGTTGCGTGGTTCAGGGCGGGGGACGAGGATCCCCGATTTCGGGTGCCTTTAAGGAATCTGTAAGGGTGCCTTAAAGGGATCTTGAAGGGTTCCTTAAGGGATCTTTAAGGGTTCCTTAAGGGATCTTTTAGGGGTGCCTTTAAGGGATCTTTAAGGGTTCCTTAAGGGATCTTTTGGGGTTCGTTTAAGGGATCTTTTAGGGGTTCCTTTAAGGCATCTTCAAAGGTTCCTTTAAGTCTTTTAGGGGTTCGTTTAAGGGATCTTTTAGGGGTTCCTTTAAGGGATCTTTTGGGGTTCCTTTAAGGGATCTTTTAGGGGTTCCTTTTAGGGATCTTCAAGGGTTCCTTTAAGGGATCTTTTAGGGTTCGTTGAAGGGATCTTCAAGGGTTCCTTTAAGGGATCTTCTAGGGGTTCCTTTAAGGAATCTTTAATGGTTTGTTTAACGGATCTTTAAGGGTTTGTTTAAGGGATCTTGAAGGGCTCCTTCTGGGGATCTTTAAGGGTTCCTTGAAGGGATTTTTAAGCGTGCCTTTAAGGGATCTTTAAGGGTTCCTTTAAGGGATATTTAAGGGTTCCTTGAAAGGATTTTTAGGGGTGCCTTTAAGGTTTCAGGTCTAGGCTGGTGATTGGTATGTATAATTAGGCAGAAATGGCTTTACTGTACTGTTCAAGGCATGAGGCACTCCACAACATCATCACTTTTGCGTCATAGAACGGAACGGAGCACCAACCCCAGGAACATGAAATGTCGGTTTGCTCAGTCTGCCTAAACTCGTGCGCAGGATGCCCTCCCCCACCCCCATCTCCAGGCCCCGACCTATACAAGTTTGGGGTTTAGGGGTTTAGGGTTTGGGGTTTAAGGTTACAGGATTTAGGGTTTAGGGTTTGGTTTGTGGTGAGTGGTCCGTGCCTCGCATATGATCTTCCAAGGTCTGGGAAATCATCAATCGCTTTCCATCTTTCTATGATGGAACGGCACGGAACACCAACTCCGGAACGCCAACATCCTGAAGAACCTTCAACTCCCAAATTCCGCAATGCTACAGACCCTGGGCGGTCTAGGGTTCAGGTCTACTTTGTGTTTACAGCCTAAAAACCCAGACCGCAAATACCAAAAATAAACACTAGGCCCTAAACCCTTAACTTGATTGAAGCCCTGAACCTAATGCCCTAACGCTGCAGCCTAAACCCTAAACCCTAAGCACTAAACCCTAAACCCTAAACCCATAAACCCTAAACCCTAAAACCCTAAACCCTAAGCACTAAACCCTAAACCCTTAACCCTAACAACCCTGCTCCATGAGCCCAGTCTCCAAGCCGGAAGCCAGAATGGATGCTGCATCAACAACCTGTCCTGACATGCGCAAGGGTTCCTTAAAGGGATCTATTTTAGGGTTCAGTTTGGGGTTTAGGGTTTAGGGTTTAGGGTTTAGGGCTTAGGGCTTAGGGTTTCTATAGGTAGTTCTCCAAGTTAGGGTCGCTTTTAGGGTCCTTTGCATAAGGGTGGCGTACTATACATTGGGGACCCAGAGAGGGACCCTTTGGAGAACTACCCACGTGGCTCTTGCAGTTTAGTTTAGGGTTTCGGCAGAAACCTTGGACTTAAACAGTTTAGGGCTTATGTTTTTTTTAGGATTTAGGGTTTAGGGTCTTTTTAGGGTTTAGGGTTTCCCTCAACCCCGAGCCCAGAGGCATATTGCTTGAATCAAGGGTCTTTCGGGGCTTCCTACTTAGAGGAAGGGTTTGAAGTACCCGAACTAGGGTTTAGGGTTTAGGGTTAGAAGTAGATATGACTATAATTAGCTACCTTGCTTCTGACCCTGCATAAACCCTAAACCCAAAACCCTAAACCCCAAACCCGAAACCCTAGCCCCTAAAACCATACTCACTTAGTCTCCTAAGCCTCTACAGTAGAAGCCCAAAAGTTGGAAACCCAATAGCCTCAACCCTTAAGAGTAATGTATAGGGAATCCCAGCACTATTTGTCCTTAATCCGGTTTCCAACTTTCTGGGGCTTACTATAGACCCTAAACCCTAAACCCTAGACCCTAAACCCCAAACCCTAAACCCTAAACCCTAAACCCTAAACCCTAAACCCTGAACCTTAAACCCTAAGCAGGCTGAACCCGAGCCATGGAGGCCCTACGTTGCCTCCCCAGCGCGCAGGGATCTTAGGTAAAGGGCTCCTTTTAAGGGATCACGGTTTAGGGTTTAGGGTTTAGGGTTTAGGGTTTAGGGTTTAGGGTTGGGGTTTTAAGGGTTTAGCGTTGAGGGTTTTTAGGGCTTTTAGGGTTTAGGTGGTTTAGGGGTTTAGGGGATTTAGGGTTTTGGGGTTTAGGTCTTGTGTAAAGGGCTCCTTTAAGGGATGGCTAAAGGTTCCTTTAAGGGATCGCTAAAGGTTACTTGAAGGGATCTTTGAGACTATAAGGGATCTAAGTTCTCTACAAGTGTTCAGCGTTTGATATATGGTTTAAGACTTTGGGGTTTAGGGCTTAGAGTTTAGGGTATGCGTGGTTTAGGGCGTAGGTTTTTGGGGTTGAAGCAACCCTAAGCTCAGGCTTGGGCATATCGGGTTTGGGTTTACATGGTACTTCTTCAGGCCCCTGTACCCTAAACCTTAAACCCTAAACCCTAAAATCTAAACTCTACAAACACCCTAAACCCTAAGCCCCTAAACCCTAAACTAAACCCCTAAACTCCTAAACCCTAAACCCTACACTTGTGGCATCCTACCTCTCCGAAACGAGCAAGTCGGACCATCCTACACCCAAAGTCCCTGTAGGACCCTTCAGGAACACTTCGAGGATCTCTTAGCAGACCCGTTTGTCGAACCCGTCAACCTACACCCTACACCCTAAACCCTAGACCCTAAACCACTACACCCCAAAACCCTAAACTAATAGAACCCGCCGAGGCACGTTCGAGATCCAACTCCAAGAAGATCACCTCAGTTGCTGAGTTCATAAGCCCCAAAAAATGTGTACACTTGCACTTCTAATAAGGGACCATACTATCCCAAAAAAGTGTAAAGTGCACTCGCTCAGCTACTAAGTCACCCCACCGCCGGTCGCTGGTTGGCTCTGATTGCTCCTTCGACTCCTGGGTGAAGTTTCGAGTCCAGGCTGCGGGATTCAGGGTTTAGGGTTTTAGTGTTCAGGGTTCAGGGTTCAGGGTTTAGGGTTTAGGTAGGGTCTAGGGTTCAGGGTTTGGGGTTTAGGGTTTAGGGTTCAGGGTTTGGGGGTTTAGGTTTTGAGTTCAGGGTTTGGGAAGGTTCTAGGGGGTCTTTGTGAGGCTTGACAAGGGCTCCAACGGCCTTCTAATAAACCCTAAACCCTAAACC